TTATTTCGCATCTTTTCCTGACAAAAACAACATTTAAAAACACGTCTACACAAATGATAAAAGTATTAAAAACACAACCGCTGGAAATTATTTTTATTTTTATACCACTATATTTTTATTTAAAACATATTATTTTCTCTTGCTTTGTCCGCCGTGACTAGCATAAAAAAAATCTCTGGTCGGCCCGCAATGCATTATGGGATATGGTGGGCTGGGAAGGATCCATTGGACCAGTCCTTCAATTCAGGGCAAAAGAAGGACGCATTTGTCGGCTGCATTGGAGGAGTTTTCGGTTTTCGACGGCTTTCGTCGCGATGCTGTGACGTATGCGGCTGAAGAATTCGGCCTTCGGAGGACCCAGCCCACCATTTTGGACACAGACGTAGTGTGTTTTCTGTGCAATACTGTACTTGTTAAAATCAATGTTTATTTGCATGACGTACGTAGTAGAGCTCTCTTTTTGTCATTGTTTATATTGTAGCAGTGTTGTAGCTAGGTTAGCAGCAACAATACAATCACCTGTCAGCTAAATGGAATTCAGTTTCATATGGCTTGTTGGGAAAATATGTTATTTACCATTTCTGGGAATACTATGTAAATGGAATGCAGTCTTATTCCAGTCAGATGTTCTGTTTGTGTTGGGGATGAGTCATCAGAGATGGTGTGAAAAAATTAGTCTGTGACACCTGTGGAAAATTTACTGGAGAATTTTATAGTAGTAATAACTTTTATTTGTACAGAAGCATTCTTGTGTCAGTTAATCTAAATCAGATTTAGGGAATAACTGAGAGTTTTTATATGATTTATAAACTCTCAGTTAACCTTCATAGTGGGGTAAACACCAGCACCAAACATTATAACTAACTTTAGCTGGCATTTAATACAGTATAGTAATATTCAATTCACAAAATATAAAAAGTAATATGTTCATCTTATTTGTGAAGTTATCTCCCAAGCCTTGATATCAAATGTGATTTGGACAAAATGCTGCAGAGCATTTTGGTTTAGCCAAGTAGAACCAATTATGTATTTTCATGTATGTTTTCATTCAGGTATTCAGGCTGTATTTCATGCAACCCAGCAGCCAACTGAAGGTGTACTCTTTATAAATGTCTATAGTAGTAACAATTGGCTCCAGCCCCAAGCTAACAGCAAAAAGTCCCATTTAATGAGCCAAGTGCTCCCTATTTGACAAACAAAAACACTCCAGAAGAGAGAGTTAAATTCCAAAGAACTCTTTTACTTTGCTACCTACCTAGTTCTAGGTGTTTATAGAGTCACGTCTTTTCCTTCTTCTGTCTTTGGGTGGACTTCCTTCTGGAGCACCAGCTATGTTTCTTACTTTACACATGGATGTTTGCACACCACGAAACAGGAGCTCGTTAACATCTGAATATCATCAGTGGATAATAATAATAGACTAACATTAATTACTTCATCATCCTTATTGACCTGTAGGGGTCGAGAGAGAGAGGTCGAGAGGTCGAGAGGTCGAGAGGTCGAGAGAGAGAGAGAGAGAGAGAGAAGAAAAGATAGACCTCTTCTGGAATGGTGAGTCAAGCAAGGGTCACCAGTGCTGGGGAGCAAAGACCTAATGAGCAGAGGCACAGTATTAAAGTAGTGACAATATTAACAGATCTATCTAAAATAATTTTAATGTTCAGTTTTGGGGTATTTTTGAATTGATGTTAAAATAGTATTTGGCCTTGAATGGATTTAAATGTAACATTGGAAAAAATAATAATCTGAAAATGTAGGTAATATTCTCTAAATAAATGTTACTGAAATGATACCGTGTACAAATATCCATACACACACAAACACACACAAGTTTTCACAGCTATCCAATTGGGGACATTCCATTGACTCCCATTACATTTCTACAGCCTAACCCTGACCACAAACCCTAAGGCTAACCCCATAGGTACCTACCTGACCCTAAAACTAACCTCAACTTAATTCACACCTTGGTCCTAAACCCAACCCCCAACCCACCAATGGCATTTAAACCAAATGGGGACTTGACTTTTGTCCCCAAATGCACCAGTTGTCCCCAAAGGCAGGCATTTTGTCTTAAAATTGCCCCCAAATGTCACCAGAACCCCCCCCCCCACACACACACACACACATAATTTAAATATTTAATACAGTATACCAAATGTACAAAAGTCTGTGCATCTCCTGGGTGCTAAACCCCCTTGTCTTTAAAACCTAGTGACACCCCTGGGTATCAGTATGTAAATTTGTCTATGAATGGGTCATTTTACTATTTTATTATTATTTTATAAAGAAGAAAATATATTTTCCCAGAGATATTTTTGTCTTCTATTAGTTAATTGACAAGTGACCCAGGTTAAGAACCTATAAAGTTTTGTCACCTTGGAGAGAATAAGATCTTGGTCAGATTGAAAGTTAGTTCTTTAATTTTACTGCAGATAAGAAAAGATATTTAAGTGCCCGAGGCTAATGTAGAACTGCTCTATGAATCATTCATGATTATTCATGACAAGTACAGCTTGACATTCTCACCCAGGTTGGAGACATCCAGTTTGTGTCTTTGGAGGTGGGAGGTTTAGTGCGGCACACCTTTTGGCTGAGGTCCGCACAAACTCAGAACTGCCAGGAGGTCATTAGAGGTGGGTGATACTGGGGATTTTGGTATCGATCCGAATCCAAGTAAATACAGGGCCAGTATCACCGATATTGATACCAATATTTTTTAAGCTTCATAATTTGAAAAGACCCAAAAGATCTAGGATAGAGTTTCGCCAAACATTTTGTGTGGCAACAAAATACTTTATTATAACAATCAATGTTTTTGCTTGCCAACAATAAAGCAGTAACAAACTAGTTTCCTTTAACATTAGGAAAATAAATCTTTTATGCAAAAATAAAATAAAAATTCTTCCCTCACCACTAGACATCTTTCCTAGTTATTTCTTTGTTTCTATTATTTTTAAAAAATGTTCTGAGGAAAAACAAAAAATAAGGAATTTTCTTCCTTTCAATACAATTCTGTTTTTTGTAAATAAACAGACTAAAAATATCACTTAACAAAACTTAAAACAAAATCTCCTGAGGTAGAGGGCTCGGTGAGAACGCTGAGTGGGTGGGCCAGCCTACCTGCTTAGCTTAGCTGTTTGGCTAGCGCTGCTGAGCCACGTGACGGTGCAACAACAGGGAAGGGTGCGCTGCTCTGTGCTGTGTGTGACAGTGCAGCACCACAGACAGAGAGTAGACTTTGAAAAATCGGCGTGTGCAGCAGTCAGTGTGTGCAGRAAAGAACAAAGCTTGAGTATCGATCTTTTACATGAGTATTGTTCAGTATCAATACCAGCACTGGTATCGATATCATCGATATTTAGTATTGATCCRCCAGCCTCTAGAGGTCATCCCTGAAAGGTCGTGCAAGAAGCTGGTTCCATGGGACAGGGTGGCTTCCCATCATAAAAAGCCTTTTTTAGGCTCAATATTTTCTCCAGTTCAAAAATTAAAACATTATTCTCACACAGCTAGAGAATGTATTATTATATTATCATTATAATATTAATATAAATTTAYGATGATAATGAACGTTTAAAGTTTAGTCGCTACGTCATAACTTATTCAGCAAATGTATTTCCATCTCTCATTTTGTGCATTAACTCTTTTTGGAAAATCCAAAAGCCACCTCAAACAATGTAAAAACTTTTTTTGCGAAAGTAAGGACGTTTATGCAAATTTTGCCATTTCCATCCAGCATGTCTAATGCGCATAACAAACGTTAATGGAAACAYGGCTAATGATCCTGATCCTTCCTTTCTGTTGATTGTTGACCAATAGGAGAGGAGTTGACTCAAGAAGGACCGSCCACCTTGTTTGCATAATGGGGGAAAAGTGTATAAAATAAAGTAAAAACAGGAGACAGAGAAATGTAAAATAACACATGGGAATAAAAAGACTTGTGGGAAAAAAAGATTTAAAAATTATGAAAATAAACATTTAAGACACACAAATGCATGCACAAGTATAAAGAAAAACAGCACACAGGTTTTTATTTTAAACATTGAGTTTGTCTGGTTTTATGTTTCCACTCCATTTTAGAACAAGTATTATTCTTCTTCTGCTTTATTTCCAAATGTTAAGGTTAATGTATACAATTTCTGTTTATATGGGCWAGAAAATAAATATCAAAAATTATCCTCAGGGTCTTTAATAAATTATTTGCGTGCTTATTATTAGGAACTTGATATCAAAGSATTCAAAGCTGTTGAAGCGAATCAAAACTGAATTGAATAGTGACCCAAATATTTGTAATTGAATTGAGTTGTGAGGCTTTTAACCATACTCAGCCTTAATGGAACAAGAATTCAGCTTTTATGGATTGTTTGTGAGGACTTTAAAAATATAATGAGAGGAATTGTAAAAGTTTGAGTGACTGTAATGTTAGAAAGAAACCACGGACCAAMGTCTAACAGTTATTTACAAAGTCTGCCTACTATGCTGTTCAGGTTTGATCACATAMATAACAACGAGACATTTGAGTTAACATAGTTAAATTTTTTTAATTAACGTTGAAACCAAATGACTTATTTTAAACCTTTCTAAATATGAAAACATTGAATAATGAGAATCATCTAATAAGTTTAGTTTGAGACAATAAAACATTTTTTATTCAAAGTTTGATGAAAGCCTGCATATTTACATTTCAAGCTTTTAAAGTTTAACCTGCAGATTAATTCTGATTAATTGTAGCACTAGAGAGTGATTAATCTGATTTGATTTTTTTAATGATTTGACAGCCCTATACAGTATATATATATATATATATATATATATATAGTGTGTGTGTGTGTGTGTGTGTAGTATAAATTAATGGTGAGGCCCACAGGGTACAGAGGAAGCAGGGGCTGCTGCTTTTGGGGAAACTGGTTAACATGAGGCATCTGGAAAAGGGGTGTGGATAGAGCAGAGGGAGGGAGGCTGAGGGAGTGGGCCCGTATAAAGAGAGACAGAACACAAGCCTGGCTTTATCCTTCTTGTCTGTCCTGCTCATTCAGACCTCACAGGAAACGTCCACCTCCCTCAGCCCACCAGCTCGCCTTCACTTCTCAAACTTTTTTGCCTTCACACACAGTGTRTCCTGCCGCCTGCGCTGAGTCAGACTTGAAAGGATGTCTGCATCCATGTGGAGAATGAATGGGCTCTGTGGAAGCATGGCTGGAGCTCTGCTGCTCTGCACTATGTTGTTTAGTTGTAAGTACTCTATTACTGAACTTTTCTTTCACAGAGTTTTATATTTGATGGTATAATTGTCTGCTTTTGCTATTTTGTTTGCTTTTTGTTCCCAAAAAAGTCAAATAATATACAGTAAAAGACAAAGCTTTAGTTGTAGAAGCAGATAGAGCATTCACTGAGGTTTTTGTTTTCCATAACTAGGTTTTCACGCGTGTGTAGATTCAGAGTGGTAGGGTAGCTGCAGACACAAAGGATCTGCTCAGCAGTGGAAAGTTTCAGTTGAGATTCAGTTTGCTCCACATCCTGCAGTGCATCTGGGTGGAGCTTAAATACGTTTGAATGTAAAATGGAAGAAAACCTCCCACATTGCACAGCTTGAACATGTAGATAAATGTGTTTTTACTTTGATTCAAATGGTAGAATTGGTTGTTTTGAGTTCCTGGCATCCTTAACAGATTTCAAACAAAGCCAGAAGATTTCCCCCACTCCAAATGTACTCTTTACTGATCTGCAAGCCAATAAATATGTGTACTCTAGCGCAGGGGTTCTTAACCTTTTTGACTTAGGGGCCCATTTTGTTGATCATAAAGTGACACGAGGCCCAGTCAGACATTACCAATGTATGGATCAAAATGATAATTATTCTAATCTAAATATTGGTTTAATTTTTATTGTATTTACATCATAACTAAACTATCATAACTAAAAAATACACTTACAGTTTAAAAGTAAAACTCCTGTCAAATAATCACAAGACATGATTATGATCTTTATATTGTAACCTGCCCAGAACAATTATTTGAACAAATACAAAGGTCAGTCAACAGACCACTCAGGCTTATCAGCACAAATATTGTAACATAAACAATAACAAAAATAGACAATTCAAAATATAAATTGTGGGCATAAAATAAATAAATTAAAAATGTTTAATGTAAAAG